GTGGTGGCAGAGGAAAGACGGGAAAGGGAGAGAAGAAAAACGGGAGGTAGAGCGGGACGCTGGGGGTACTTATTTGCGAGAGGGTGACGAGAAGAGGCTTTGCCCTTGCCAGGAGGCCCGGTTGATGGAGGCTCACACGGTCCAGTCAGTCCCTTGCGAAGGAAAAATAAAGAGGCGTGGGCCCGGCGTGAGTGGCTACCCCCGGGTATGAGAGAGGTACCTTGGAGAGAGAGTGTGTGTGTGTACGAAGTACTTGAGGAAGGAGGGAGGGAGGCGTGGGTATCTGGGTAGACAGAGACAGAGACAGAGAGAGAGAGACGGATGAGTGGAAGTGTGTCAGTGTCAGTCTAGACGGTGGCACTGGCGTGGGAGGTTGATGAGCGGTAGCTTGGAAGAGAACGGTGGGAATGCGATACGGTGTAAGGTATCCGTAGACGGTGGATACGGGAGTACCTTACGATGAGACCGTAACGCGAGAGAGAGAGAGAGGGAGAGAGAAGGGGTTGCAAAGGGCCAGCCAGAGTGGTCGTCTGAGCTTGATGAGAAAGCGCAAGCAAGTGCGACGAGGATGGGAGGTCTGCTGGTCTGCTGGAGAGCTTGGGCGCAAAGGAAACTGACGAGGACGAGAGAGGTCCAAGGTGTGTGAGTGGTGAGTCGCGAGGATGGTGTGTGTGAGGTTCAACAAGCAAGGTGCGATGAAGGACAGGGGTCCGGGAAAGAAGCCGTTCCAAATGGATACTTTTTAGTGGGGTTACTTTCCCTCGCTGTCGCGGCCCTGTCACCAACGTACCTGTCTTCTTAGCACTACACCCATCATTCAGTGTCAACCAGCACACTGACCTTGCGCATCGCTCGTGAGGTGGAACTGGCTTTTCTTTTTCTGGTATACTTTTTTTTTTTTTTTTTGCAAAAAAAAAAAACTCAAAATTCCGTAGAAAACTACAGCCTCGTTTCTTTCGCACCTCTCTACGTCTAGTCAGTATACGCGGTTTACCTGGTCTCCTATGTTGGGTTGCTACTCCGTACTGATGATTGAGGTGCGTATCTCGGGAATTGGAAATAGAATACAATGGAGGCTCGAGTTGAGGTACGAAAAGCCCTGGTCTAGCGAGAAAATAGATACTTGTGATCTCGCCAGGTCTCAGCACTATGGTCATGTACCTTATTGTTTGCGACAAGGTACACTTACTTGTACCTTAAAATGGGAGGTGGGGCATGGCATTTGGTAGCTCCTCCCCTGTCGCTATGATTCATTGGTGTGTCGCCCGCTCAGTTGCGTTGCCCAGAGAGTCAGAGGAGAGAACTGGACGTCGCGTGCTGGCCCGTGCTGCGCGCAAGCGAGTGGGACGAAATTTGCCAGACCCGTACGGAATACCTCGCCGTACCTTTGGTTGCATGTGCTTGGGAACTACGTGCTGCGAGCTGCGCGCTGCGCGTTGCGTTCTACTGCTGGCTGCTGCGTGTCGTATCGTGTGTGCAAGACGAGAGAGAGAGAGAGAGACTGAGGGAAACCGTATCAGCAGAGACACAGTCACATGTAGCGGTACGTATCCTAGATACATGGGGGCCCAGAAAGAAAGAGAGTGCAGGACGAGCAAGATGCAGAGACGGACAGGGGGGTCAGGACGAGCCTTTCCACACTTTGGACAGCGTCAGGGGTGTGGTAGCCCATCCATGCCTTGCCATGCCTGCCTGGACCCTGCTGCTTTGCCGGGAACATGCCATGGATGACCCACTCCCGCCGCCATTCCCAGACGTTAGTGGCTGTCCTAATTCACTTTTTAATCTTTTTTCTCTCTCTGAATCTTTTTCTTTGCTTCTTCTCTCTAATACGCAGCTACGCAGCAACGCGCGCCCAGAGAGGTAGACAGAGAGAGAGAGAGAGAAAGTCGTTCGCCGGTTGCCCCTCCGATGCCACGACGCTACTATCCGTACAGGATAAGGTACGGATACTTGTAACCACATGTCCCATTGTATCCGTACCTTTGTTAGAAGAAAGAGAAAGAAAGAAAGAGAACAAGAGAACCGTCGTCGAAACATCGTAGCCGCCGCAGACTCCCGCTTCCCTTCTTTACGCCGCCGCCGCTGCCTGCCTCGGACGGCCCAGCAACGGGTTTTACTCTTTTTTCTGCTTGACCTTTTCGTGTCGTACGCGACCAACAAATTATTTAAAATTCACGGGTGGACCACAACGAGATGGCCGGGTGATTTCGATACGCGCTGAACCCGGGCCTGGAACCTAGCAACCCGGCCGGTCCTTTTCTGAGTCCAGCAAACGTCTCCATCCAGTCAGATAAGGTAGAAAGGAAACGAAAAAGGGGTGTGCCCCGCGGCGGCCGTCCGTCCACCTTCGAACTTCGCAGCAAGACGTCGCAGTTTCCGCTAGAAATACTATTAGTTGACTCTGGCTCTAGGCTGGACTCCTGGAGAGGCTTCGCTCGGGCTCCTGTCACCGGCGGTATGTGTCTGTGATAAAGTCTCTTTCTAGACTTCTAGAGTGACTCATGTCGCACTGTAATCTTCGGTCCAGGCTTCTTCAGACTTCTCCTGATACCGCTACTTTCTCCCTGGACCTGTGACTGCCACTGCCCTCACTCCGTTTCTGGCTCACCGTCCGTTCAAGTATTGAAAGTATCCGTGGAGTATTAGGTACCGTTACATTCGATGGCCAGAACTCGACGCCGCGACGATGACGATCGCAAAAGTGGATGGGGGATGTTGAAAGCTGGCTGGCCTGACGAATTACAGGATACGATGCTTTTGCAGTACCAAACTCTGGACTGTTTCGTTCCTCACCGTTCCCACACTGGCACACATTGCTTAGAAACAAAACAACATGAACAATTCAAAATAGAAAGGAGGACACAAAAAGTAGAGGCAGTACGCACATGTTGGCATACTAACAACGCAATCCTAAAACAGAATCACTTCAAAACAGAATCTCGCGTGATGTCCTGCAGCCAGCCCATGACGGACGTCATATTGCGGCCGCCCCCCCTCCCTCGAGGGTGATGCCGTTGAATGCGCTCCATTTTCGTGCATTGCATAGGCAAGCTTTTTGCAGGGCAAAATCGCACACCACCAAAAGTAGAGGTGTCCCACCCTGCAACCACAACGCATCTCCCACCACCTCAGAGAGCGGATAGGTAGCATTACAATGAGACGAGAGCTTCAGGACACTCACTGGTTGGCTACCCCCCCCCCCCCCCCCCCCCTGATACTTGCTCGGTAAAGTACAATACTCGCCGTAGGCACACAAAGGCCGATCGATCGCTCTCTGCCCTCCCACGCTTTGTAAGGTAATCCGTCTACGAGCATGTTCTCGCACGCCGTATGAGCCGGTCCGTACACAAACACATGGGAACGTTGTGACCAGCGGCCAAGTGCCGGCATGGCTGGGCAACCCGTAGCGGTTTCTCTCTCACATCGCCTTTCATATTCCGCCCTCCGTTTTGGAATTCCTCAGTCTTCTCCAACTGTACCTTACTCTCTTCTGTACCACCGTTTCCCGCGCTCTCAGCCCAGCTCAGTGCCCGCCGTTCCTTTAACCTCGCCCACTAGTCCCTTCCATAGCCCATCGCTAGAAGCCCCGATGGTTTGCGTGTCGTTGGAAACTTGGCGCCCTGGGCTGGCAAAACGGGACTCGGAGAAGGAGGGTCTTGCGCTAGTTCCCTCACTATTTTGCGACACGCGCCTTTGTCCTTTCTGTCAGGTTACTTTTTGCAAAGGGGGCGAGACATGGCTGGCCGGTTCCTCGTTAAAAGCAGAAAACCCTTGGGGCCAAAGATCCACATGGTCAAAGAGTGGTGGGCTGCAGGCAAGGGGAGGGAGGGGACAGGACAGCGACAGGAAGAGGAAAGAATAGGAGCCAAGGTGGTCCCCTATTAAAACGACCACGCCATAGGGCCACGATGGAGAAAATGGGAAGGGGGGGGGGGGGGGGGGGGGGGGGCCAGTACGCTTCTTGTCGAGATGTGCCGCTAGTCCTGCTAGCTGCATCCTCTTTAAAACCATGTGACTCAGGCCAGATACCGTCTAAGCAAGATTTATCCAGAGCGGGAGTGTCGATCAGTTTGCGCACCTTATCCCGAGGCTTCATTGGACTCGTCGCACGACGACTGACTGCGCTGATGGAGGAGCATATAACGGTATGGGTGTGAGAGGTGCTGCGTGTGTGTGTCGCGTCTTCCATGGATTCGATTGCGCTCTCGTTCAAAGTTCACCCAGCACTCTCGTGAAGTTGTGAGCCAAGTGAAGCTGGGCAATGAATTGCGGCGGCCAGCCTGAGAGCCTTTGCGCCTGCGCCCTGCGAGACTGTGCAGAGGCGGCGCCATCTATTTCCTCTTGTGTCCGTAGATAGGTGTACTGCGACCTGCCTGTCCTGCCAGTCACCGTTATGGTGTCTCCTATCTCCTATTATCCCAGGCATGCTTCTTGTGCTTCGCGGACATGACAATGCAGGGCAGTTAGCCAAATGTTTCGGACTCTGCCTCCCTCCCGTAACGCGGTCTTGGTCTTGTTCGTCAGATGCGCCAATCTGTATCTCGTAGTTGACTGGTGTCGACGGATATTGTATCTCGACTCTGAAGGCGTGGCGCCACTCGGTAACCGTACGGATACAGGATTCTCCTTTCTGGGGGGCGCCGCGTTACTGTCGTTGTAACGGTAGCGGACCAGAAAAGGAGAAGTCGTTCAAAGAAGACTCGTCTGAGGCCGGCACGATGGATCCACCATAAGAGACGACGAGAGACCATTCTCATGACAATCAGAAACAACAGCCGCCCGACACTGTGCAACTGCCAATCAATCGGAGATCCACAGGCCCTTGACTTGGACCCATTCCGCATATTTGATCCAAACAATCCTAGCTGCCGCCAGGCCTAGTCTTGGTCCTCTTTGGACAACAGACAGGGACTGACGGGGATGTAGGGGGCCGTTCCCCTGCCTCTCATGATCAGAGGTCACCTACGGGAATTTTTTCTTTCCTCTCGAGATTCTCAGGACCACAGCGTAAGAACATGATACATTAAATCCCCTCCACCGTCCGGTCCTGACTGTTGGCCTGGAAATAGGCGCACATTGATGATCCGACGGCCTCCCCAATCAAGTCTTTCAGAAGTCCAGACGCCAAACGACACTCCATCAACAGCTCCGTTTGAGCGCGTGTCCGTCCAGACTCCAGACCTGCCAAGAGGGCTTGCGGCTGACTCCAGCCCGCCCGCTTTCCCAGACCAGACCCTCGAACACAGCATATCCCCAACGAAACGAGGTTTGTATTCGTACAAAGTACCCGCCATCGTTTGGACATTGCTTGCTGCTTGGGTGACCATCCGTGACGGGGACCAGATGCAGATGCGCAGGGACGGCAAATTACGGCCACTGCCGAGCTATAAAAAAAAAAATTTGCTGACGGACACGGCCTTCATTTCAACAAAGAGCCTTGGGCCGTCCGAGTCGGCCACTATTGGCTCCGTGGGGTTCCAGCGCGGCGCTACCATCGCGATCCCATTTAACTACTTGGCCATTCTCGCCTGAAGCGTACCTAGCTTGCAAATTAGGTGATGAATGATTGCGCCCCAACATATCTGTACCTGACATTGAGCAAGCCATGACAGACGACCCGAGCTGGCTGACGGGCGACAGCGGACAGTCCGTCACGGACAACAAGACCGAAATCAGAAAGGCTAATACTCGGAGAGTCATGCTTGATCATTATGCGGTGCCCCTGAACGGCGCGATCATGTGCTAGCATCTAGTCGATCGATATGCCTGATGTCGTTGGAAGGCCACCGGGAGGTCAACCGAGTCCGTCTGCTCGAGGTGGCCGACCGCTCTTTTGATCGGTTTGGAATTCCATGGGTTGGGTTGGCTTGGGATGAAGGGACCACCAGTGGAATGCGATTCGATATCCAGGATGCCCATGAAGTGAAAGTCGAATCAATGTCGATTTATGCCGTCAGATACCACCACCAAGCCCTGTCAAATGCGGGCTGCGCGTACCTCACTCAGAACTGTCCATCAGAACCCTGTTAGCTGATCCCTGGTCCATCTCTGCTTTGGTTTTACTTCCTAGGTTGAGAAGTCGCATTTGCAGCGGATTTTCATATGGCCCCACATAGCAACCAGTCATGCTGGCGGTGGCTCCAGGGAGAGGCCCGGCAGCCGGAGAACAGCTCATTGCTGTGGGACGGAGACTCGGAGCCGGGCGTTCGTTGCCCCTCGAATTGAAGATCCGCGATGGTATCGTTTCTTGTCGCCCAAGTGGGTTTTTGGGCAATGTGGACGATAGCGATCAAGGTTCACCTGGATCCCATAACACTCCAAATTACCATTCCTAGGCATTGTCTTGACCGAGGTGAAATAGAGTTGGCGGATGAAGTCCTCGGCAGACAGCGAATGCGTTCATCAGACCACGTATGTACGGATAGACTAATACAGCCCTGCTTGGCTAGATGGCGAAATCGTCATCTCCCCAATCTCGCTGCAGGGCGCAGGCCACCTCGCCATCTGCCTGATCTCTTGACGAACTGCAGCATCGAGCAACCGAACGCCCTGGTTTAAAACGGGGCCGTGGATGCAGTCTCAGATACACATGACCGGAGGCGGAGGGGCACGGAAGGTGGAAGGTTCTGGTGGCCTGGCTCGGAATGGTGTCGATGATGGATGGTATCGTATCGGATTGCCTGGCGTGAATCCTACTAGGAGTTTCGCGGGTGGGCGCTGTCGAATCAGATTGCTCTGAGTTGGTAACTTGAGGGATGTATTTGATGTATCCGTATCCGTACTTGTATGTTAATGGCTCGAGATGGCCGGTTTGGTTGGGCCTTAGAAGTTATCGATGATGATGTTGTCCCTCGTCGAATTCCGGTCAGGATCGTGATTGACGTCCATCTTCGCTGGCAGGGACGTTACGTAAGACAGAATAAGTCGACGGTGAAGGCAAGCACACTGTGATGTACCTTACCTTATGGAATTGTATATGGAACAAGACGGGAAGGTCCAGTACGTGTAAACGGCCACCGGGGAAGATATCTACCGGTCTTCCATCAGGCGTCAGGAAGTAGATACATCATCCCACCCTCGTTCCTTCCAGTTCCATATTGTAACTTCAGGCCAAGGCAAGCACCAAGTACCCAAGGCAAGGCAGATTGCGCCTTCCAAGCTCACGGCGACGGATCAGAACAGGTTTTCTCTGGTTCTAAGGTACCTCAGGCAAGTGCTCAAGTACCTTACTTTGCTTTGCAACCTTCATTAATCGATAAGGTACCAATACCGAACGTTGCAATATCACCACCACCTTATTCGCCTATACCCCTCAATCCCGTTCAAGGCAAACCTGCCCACCGTCACCCAGCATCGTCACGACGAACCCAGATGGATCCGTATCGACAATGACTTCCTATTCTTGACCTTCTCGTCCTGTACTCCGTACCTCATTCGGGGCTGCGTAGGCAGTGGCTGAAAGACATGCCAACGACAATCGATAGATCATCCCCCCCCTGGTCTGCTTTGCGAATGCGCATGATTGTACTTTATTTCCTTTCCAAGCAGTGGAGATCCATCGACCGTTTGAAATGCCGTCTCGGTCCGGCCATTTTACGTCATCTGCCATCTTGCAACCTATCTTTACTGCAACCAGGCGGCACGATACAATCCGTTGCGTCCATGAGTTTGCCAAACGTACAAGGCTATAGGCATTTACTGACCAGAGTCAGCCGTCTTCATGAGCACACGGACATGACATCTTGCACCCAGATAACATACCTACCTATCCCGCTGTTTCGATGAGCCGCTCATGCCGTCGTCTACCATCTGAGACAGACGGCCTGGGGGGTAGCTTACAACGGCTTTGCAGAGTGAAACATTGACACACCGCGGAAAACTGCAACCACCACCGCGACACGGCACCCACGGCTCGCACTACCTGAATCTCCAATACCTAATCTCACCGGCCGATATAACGGTGTATTAGAATACGCCAACGATTTGGACACACTACGCCGGCTCGCCCGGCTTGCTTCGCCTTCAGCGGTCTTGCATCCCACCCGTTTGGGATGAAGATTCTCGACAATTGATATACATCCCCGCGGTTCAACTCGTGTGACGTTGATCACCCGAGTATCAGATTCAGCTTTGACAGCGCTGTCCCGGACTGCGGGCCCACGGGGCCTTGCAAACGGGACCGGCCGGAGTATATCGACTTCCCTCCCGTCTCAGCCCACGCATTCAGTCGCCACGATTACACAGTTCATCGGAGCTTGATCGGATGGGCCAGTACTGATGCTATGGTGTGCACGGTATTACTGAGCACACCAGTTTAAACGCAAAAACCCGGCCACTCAGGCGCATTATAGGACGCCCATCAGTAGCTCAGCTGGTGCTTGCTGATCCACGAAGCCCGCAGGTGAAACAAACCCGTCTCTCGTTTGATGCAGGTGGGGGCTAGATTGAGACACGCGAAGAAGAGCAAGCATTCCGCCGCAGTAAAGCGATGAGGCCGCCAGGTTCAACTAGAGGAGGCATTTGAGATGAGTCCGCTCCTTTTGCTGGCAAGGTGACCCAGGTCAAGTAAAGCACCTGTGCTTCGACCTCATCCTTTCCCCAGCCTGAGATGGCTTGCCGTCGGTCAGAGTTCCAGTCACAGTTGAGGGGCAACATCGAATAAAGGGTAATAATCCGATGTTTGCTAGACCCGGATATTTACCACTGTCGACGATAAATGAGGCGGTAAACGGGACTGTCGATGCCCAGACTTTCCGCATTCCTGAGTTTGTCCCGTGGACCGACTGAGTTTACCGTTGGCCGCTTCGGGCTTGATTTTCGGTCTCCTCGCCCATAACGAATTTGCGGTGACGGTCTCCGATACTGCTCCGCCTTGGGGTTGTGTGGCTCGTACACCACCATTCATGTGTTGATCCTCGTTGCCTTCACACCATGGGCTGGCAAAGCCCGGCACACAGAATAAAACGTTCATGCAAGCCCCGCCGTTGGCATGCACATGATGCATTTAGCTTCTCGGCTTGTCTCCCCTCACCACGTTCTAGATCCCCGCGTACCATTGCCAATGTCTCGCACCACGACGAGTCAAGTGGCCCGCCATCAAGCAAGTCGGAGGGGTCGCGCAGGTCGCATTCCTTAGACGCCATCCAACCGTGCCATCCGGCCTAGTGGCCATTTTTGGAGTCATCTGTGAGATGTACTGGCTCGGTGGTTCATGCGGTACTTCCAATAAGGGATGCAGCTCTTATCACACCGCATATGAGAGGTGTGAAGTGTCAAGCCACATTCTGAGGCAGACTGTCAAGTCAAGATACTTTTGTGGCTTTTGAAGGCCCTCATCCTTGGAAGTTTTATGTCTGCATGTCGTAGGCTTTATGTCGGCCGAGTTTGACTTTCAAGGGAAGTTCTGCGGAGTTCCTTGCAGCTCTTTCATGCTTCGAGTCTCACGTCGCTTATCAGAGTAGGTAGGCCTAGGGTCTCGACTCGGCTCGAAACTGTGTTTGTTATTGCGTCGCTTTTCAAACTGGAGTCTCGGGTTGAGACTTGATCATGCTTATTGCTCGCCAATATCCCGTTTGGTCGTAGAAGCCGGGCACGTGATCGTAACCAACGACATCTGATGCAGCTCACTGCCTACCCTCTTGCGTGCTCGTGAGAAACAACAGATCTGTCCCTGTGTAAGGTCATTCGAAGCTCCGCAGCAAGCTTCTTGATGGGATTTGACCGTTCCCTAGTGACGAAATAATGGAGGTCAAATTGTCTGCATAGTGACGATGATAGGGAATGCTGGTCGCCAGATGTAGTAGGCATGTGCCCGTCGGTGCATATGGTGTCATGGCCATATTCAATTAGTTGATCATACCACTGGGAACCATTGAGGTGCTATTCTCTGCGCATCTATCCAATATGCTTGCATCTGCCCAGCTTTATCAATCATCAAAGATGAACAGGAACACAAATAAATAACTGAAGGTGTCCACGGATAGCAGACGTTGATCTCGTCGGCTTCAACCCGATATTCAGCTTGCTGCACTACTCAACGCACAGCTGTGGAATCGCCTTGTAGAGAGGACCGGCACTGTTCTTTGTATAGTCTGTGACTCGGGGCCTGCTCTATTCTTTGGTCAGTTGATATCCCGAGGTCGCATGAGAACCAAGTGCGACATGATCGAATAACCAGCTTTAGCGAAGGACTAGATATCAATGGAATAAAACACAGCTGATATTTGAAGGTTCTTCCTAATCGCAGCCTTATGCGTAAAGCTGGAAGTACTGCTCCTTCGGAGGCGTGAACTCGAATGAGGCCAACACCAAGGGCCGTTTTGGGGGGGATTTGCTCTCCCTGTATGGTTTTATAAATCTCAAATGAGCCCACGATCACTTGTCGTGGGCTGCGTTGTTTCGATGGCACGCTGCCCTCGTCAATTCACTAGTAGCTTTTGTGTTCGTAGGCTCTTTGTGCACCGCGGTAAAGACTCTATTCGTTGGGTCGCCTGTCTCTCGGAGGGAGCCATCTCTCGGGGCATCCGTTATTATGAAGCGCAGCCGTCGCCGTACTCATTCAGGTGTAGCTGCGAAGATGAAATGAAGTAAGCAAGATGGTCCAGCTCTAGGGATGATGGGGCAATGTGTATCAAACTTCGCTCTCTCGAACGTTATGGCTTTCAGGCGAAGCCTCGTGGCTAAGTGACTTTCCTCTTGTGATGAAGAAGCTCAAGAGTCATAAAAATGATGTCTTTTTAGTGTAGATGGGTAGTAGAAGCCTTCTCTGTTTGGGCCCATGGAAATCGTAAAGCTTAGAAGCAAAAGATACCGCAAGGTTCATGGAGACCGGGCCTCGAGGTTCAGAGCGATGAGAGCAGGCTCTGGCCGACTGGGAAAGGTTTTTGGGGTAGACCCTTCCCAGACTGTGGCTGTACTGTCTTGTGTACCAGCAACAAGCTGAACCATATCGCCATGAGATATCAAGTCACTTACCATGCCACTTATAATCGGCGCCGTCAGCGTTGAAAGCAAGAAATCTGACCAGGATAGTAGAGCAAATTCCATGATATGATCATCTGTTGTACACGCAGCCTCAGCCTTCCTATGTATAGTCCCCAGCTCTTTCCCCATGGGACAAGTGAGTCTATGTTTCTTAGCTCTGAGACTCGACATCGAACTTGATGAACACATTTGAATCAGAACAGCAGACGGATAGAGCTTACAAGGGATAACATGAGTCTTTGTGACCCGTAAACAGCTTCAGATCCATCTAGACAACCTCTTTGTATTTCTGGAAGCCATTACCTCTGCCACCTGCCTCCTCTGCACGTTCCATCTCCCATCCTCAAGGTGAACTCCCATCCCATCTCCCCAGCAACTCCCACAACTTCACATCCGTCACCTGACCGTACGACTGCAAATTACCATACTAAGCCTGGAGGGGATAGTGAATGGGAAAGGAAGGAGCCCAATTCAAGCTTTCTTCCCTGGGATGTGCAGTCTTTAGTCTCGTTATTATCTTCACCTTGGTTCACTATCTCTTTGGGCCATCCCTCTCACTCCCACCTCCACTTGGGTCAACTTCACCTTTTGGTCACATACCTATCTCCGTTACCTTTCAACCTTCACAGCCATACGCCTTGCTTCCCGGAAGCAAACCTAAAAGCATTTCTTCTCCCTCAACACTTCATCCTGCCAACCTATATATTCTCCTCCACGACAGGCAGTAGAGGACCCAAACCACTTGGACTTCAACTCAAAATAATTGTCCTAACTCTCAAATTCCTAATCAGTTGCGTTCTTGGTCATTGGTACTCCTACAATTCATTCATATCGTTCTTTACTCTCACCTTCCTCAAGTTGGTCAGGGCCAACAAAGGCGAGCACAACCCCTAAGCATTACCTTCCTTCAGTTCCCAAAGACTAGGACCAAGCACAACAAAATGGTTCCTCGCCGACCTCTCCCTTCCAGCAAGATGGAACTCACAATTCCCGACGGCAAGCTCCATAAAGTCGTCGGCCACACTTTGGAGGAGCAGGAGACACACCAGCTTAAGCTCGTCACAAAGCTTCTGGTCGGTCCCAATGGCTCTTTGCCTGACTTGCCTGCTGACTCCGCCCCCAAACCCGCATTCTGGGACGATCTTCGCCAGCAATTCCTCACTGCCGGGGTTCGTCAAGATAACCCTGGAAAGTCGACTTCTGGAGCAGGTCCTGACAAGGAAGCCACATCCCAGGCAGGCCAGACCAATACTCTGGAAACCCTCCTGAAGGTGGTGCCCATTGGCAGTGAGATCATTGCCCATTTGTGGCTTGTCGACACTGCAGCCGTTGGAAAGTTGGCCTCCATTTCGAAGGGCTGCTTCGACGCCGTTGCGATCCACATGGTAAGTAAACACTCCAGACAAGTTTACCCAAGTACCCGAAGCTTACGCTGCTATAGTCTAAATTCGACCTGCCTGCGGGCGAGTATCGGGACTGCGAGTGGCTTCCAGAGGAGCTGGCTCGCATGAACGATGCTGACCGGGCAATCATTGACATCGGTGGCATTGGACGTAATCTACTCATTCGTGGCAAGGCCCTGAATAATGACCCGTGTGCCGGACACATCGTCAAGGGTATTCCGCGATTCTGGTCCAGCCTCCAGCAGCGAGATGAGTTGTGGGCTATCTCGGAGGTAATGTGCGAGGCCAATCCTGACTACGTCGATGACTTTGCTCCCTTCCACTACGGCGAGAACAAGCTCCTCGAGGTTGAAGATCGCTGGAGGCGTCGTCTTCAGGAGATGGGCTTGCCTTCTTCGACAACGGACGCGGACGAGCGCGACAACCTCTACGTGGCTGAGATGAGCTACAACATTCCGATGCGTAAGTCCTCCGAAGCATGGTCATGGTGCTCACAGAGCTAACAAAAAAACAGTGCGATCTCTGTTCCAGTTTGGAGGAGCACTCACTGCGCTGCAGTTGCATGAGGTTCCCATGATGGACATACGCATTCTTGAGCTGATCCTTTCGGCTTGCCCTGTACTCGAGATACTGGGAATCGTTAAGTGCGAACTTCTTCATGTCGCGCACATCAATCAAATTCTCGACCTTGTCTTCCAACGCGCCACGAAGACCGGCAAGAAGCTGAGAAGCCTTCAATTTTATCCTCGCTCTTACACCGAGCCGGCCCACAACCGCACCGGCACCCACGTTCTTTCTTGGAATCCGCTCAAGACCAACGTTAAGACGAGCCTCTTCGTCACACTCTTCTTGGCCATCCTTAAGGCCGTTCCAATGGGCATTGACCTCGTGTCTGAAGGTCAATCATTCCGCCGGTTCCTCGATCTGGTGCCGATGAAGCCCGGCCAAATGGCTCTCTTCCTGCACCACGTCCATAAGTGGCTTGACGCAGCAAAGACTCCTAAAGTCTATGACTGGCTCACCGAGGAAAATAGTCCCCAGGGCCAGTACCGCGACCCTCGCCTACTGATGCTCGAGGATCAAGTTCTCCTCAGCATGCTCCAGGGCACCAAGGAGGGGAAAACTATGGAGAAGCATCGGCGACCGATTTATTACCACGAGAAGTACGAATGCTGCGGATGCGGATGCCAGATGCTCGCGGTCCTCTTCCGCAGGGAGATGAAGTCACGCTCAGCCGATCATCGCTTCTGCCGCATCTGTGACCTTCGGGGTGAGCTCAACGCAGAGAGCCACCATCGTCTCCACGACAAGAGAACGATGGTGAACAGCTTCCTCTACTCCCCCAAAGATACTGAGGACAAGGCGGATCCAACCAACGCTGAGCTCCGGAGCGTCTGGGCTCCCCCTCATCGAAACCCCTTCATCGAAGGGCCGATTATCAACGGACCCCATCGTGAAGAGGCCGTTCTCCAGCACCGAAACCTCCCCAAAGTTCAAGTTCTTATGCACGAATCTAGACACTTCGACATTCTCAACGCTGCGGGACAGGCTGCAATTCTCGATGCCATGGAAACGGGCTGCTGGAAAGCTGGGGTCTTCAACGACCACCCTGCCTTGACCGAACAGACTCCATATACGAAGATGAGAGTCCCCAACCAGAAGATGCTTCGCAAGCAGGCCTGGGAGTATGTCATTTGGAAGACCTACTATAAGGACGCTGGTTTGGCCGAGCAGCAGGCGGCGGCGATAGCAGCCGGACACGAACCTCCCAAGCCAGCCGGCTTTTGGTGAAAAAGAGCTTTCGAGAGCTCCGCACGACAATCCCTAAAGTGTCCGCAGACTTACAGCATGTCTTGGAGGCATACATCAACAACATTACTATCAAACATCATTATCATTGGCAGATCTGGCGCGACCAGTCTCAATCCACCACTCCGACACAATTCTTCTTATCCGAAACCCCTCAAAATCTTCTCCCACCCCGGAACACGACGAGACGATAATGGATTTGGAAAGTGGAAGATATTGCATGGTACAAATTGAATTGGAAAGAGACGAGCTTCTGCGCTGCTGCGTCATACACTATTAGACGGCGTTGAGCGCTTTCTATCGAGAGCACGGCAAGATGAGTTCAGAAGAAGCGAGCAATTTCGTGTTGCTTCACGATACTACATCAGACAGCGATGGCCACTGCTTATCGCGAAGTCAGCGCCACACACCTCCAGAGTAGAGGCAGAAGGATAGACGACCCTCTCCATACGCACGATTATGGCGGCAAATAAGAGAAAGGGATAATGGTTCGATAGTTGTCTGGCTTGGTTCTTCTCATTTGCTTCGATTGGTTTGCTCATTTGGTCCGGTTGGTTTTGCTCTTTCAGATTTCCTTTTCATTCGGCATTGCAGCCTGTTATCTCATAATACCCACTGCTCGAGGGATAGGCAGGACTAGCTTAGACAGTCCATAGAGGCAATAGCAATTCTCACTCTTACGTCCTTGTGGTATGCTCTGTGATCTCTCACGTGAATGCAGCTCTCGATGCTCTGCATGTTGTCGAACCGTGTCTTGTTCTACAATGTGATATATCTATGAGTCTCTGATGTTGTACAAAGAATATTACACGCTGCCCATGCGTCCCAACTCCATCTAACATTACAAGGCCAATGTAAACAACGGTTTTGACCGAGAAAAACAAACATGCTGCTCAAGAAGCAGACTCCTTCGACTGGTCAGAAACAATTTCTTCCGCCTGGCTAGAAGATGACTCCTCCGTCTGGTTCTGCGGCCCCTCCGTCGACAACCCAACCACATTCCTCAACGTGCCAAAGCTCAAACAATCGCTGATCCGGCTGGCGCCAGAGAACAACATCACAAGCCTCTCAACACCACAACCCCAGCCACCCGTAGGCGGCAACCCGGCCTCGAGCGCCCGGATATAGCTCTTGTCGAGCGGCGCGTCCCTCAGCGGGTGCGGATCATCCGCCTCGAGCGGCGCAGCATCCTTACCGGTACCGAAAAAGCGGTGCTCCGCGAGCTTGCGCGCCTGCGCGGCCGGGTCGTTCTCCTCCTCGTACATGTTGGCCAGCTCGCGGCCATTGACGAACAGCTCCGTCCGCGCCGACACGAGCTGCATCGTCTTGGGGCAGACGAAGCTCTTTGCGAGCGGGGACATGCAGGTCGGGTGGTGCGTGATGAATAAGGGGCCCTCAAAGGACTTGGGCTCGAGGTAGACGGCGGCCAGGCGGTCGAGGAGTTTCGGCATGGTGGGCGGAACGCCGCCGGGTACCTCGATCTTGCTGAGGGCCAGCACGGCGACGAGCTCCGAGTAGGCGTCCTTGCCGGTCAACTTGGGGAAGCGGAAGCCGATAGCCTCCTCGAGGGCCGGGATGAACTCGAGCTGGCGGAAGGGGCGGACGAACCTGGAGAGGTCGACGGGTTGGAGGGAGGTCAGTTTTGTGTCGATGAGTTCCCGGCAGTGGTGCGCCAGGCCGGAGAGGAGCTCCTCGGTGCGGTCGATGAGCTCGGGGAGGTTGGTGTAGGCGCTGTAGAACTCGCACATTGTGAACTCGGGGTTGTGCGTGCCATCGATGCCCTCGTTGCGGAAGGCCGGGCCGATCTCAAACACCTTGTGGACGCCGCCGACGACGAGGCGCTTGAGCCAGAGCTCCGGGGCGATGCGGAGGGAGAGCTCCTTGGAAGGGAACTCGGTGGCCTGGGTGGTGAAGGAGCGGGCGACGGCGCCGCCTGCGTTCTCGGCGAGGATGGGCGTCTGGAACTCGAGGAAGGACTTGTCATGGAAGTAGTCGCGCATGTACTTTGTGATGTGGGACCGCATGCGCAGGACGTCGGCGACTTCGGGGTTGACCATCATGTCGACGTGACGTTTCGCGGCCTTAGTTGCCGGGTCCGTCAGGGTCTGGGGGATCTGCTCCATCGCGGGGGAGAGCAGCTCCGGGAGGACGACGGCCTGGAGCGTGAGCTCGCCGGTGCTTGTGCGCGTGGGCTTGCCGGTGATGGCTTCAATTGTAGTCTTAGCATCATGTCACCAAGCTGACGTAGGGCAGTAGCAAGTGGGCTTACAGATGTGATCGCCCTTCTCAATCAGCCGGGCAAAGAGCTTAAACGTATCAATGTTCATGTCAGGCGAGTGGGCGCCTAGGTTGCGATAGTTGATCATGCCCTGGATCTTTTCGAACTCATTGACAATGGTGACGAAGACGAGCTTGTTCCCGTGGAGGCGAACGGATTGGACTCGGCCTGTGGCCTGTCAGCGAAAGGCCGATGGTGGTTAGGGATGCCGCCGCCGGCCACAAGCTGCTGCGGCTTTTGCTGCTGCTCTTGTGGAACGACGACTTGTATTTCATTCTGCGTACCATACAGGGTGACGACCTCGGCGTTGCTGGGGTCATTCAACTCCTCCTTCTTCTCCCACACCTTCCTAAAGGCAGGGACAGACATGGGCTTCTTGCGATGGACCAGCCGCGGGTGCGTCTCCTTAATCACGCCCTTTTCGCGCACCTCCTCCAGCGCCTGGAGGCGCATCTTTTTGAACTCTGATATCCTAACCGCCTCACTCTGCGCTGACGTGTCCTGCTGATGCTGCTCTGCGCCCTTGACTACCCTATCCTTCTTCTGCCTCTTCCCTCCGGACCCATCCTGAACGCTGGCGCCACTTGGTCGACCGACGTGGAAGGACTGAGCCAGTCTGGCAACATGTGGTGTGCGTGTTGCCGGCCGCAAAAGCCGTAGGCTCTGAATTAAAGTCATCGCGTCTGATTGTTTCCTGTTAGCTTCGTTGTTCTTCAATGATCAATGTGCTAATGAGATTGGAAACAGGGCAAAGAATAGGATGTCAGATAATAGGCGGTTTAAATCAACCACAACAAAAGAGCTGTGTAAGTCGCAGCGGTTCTGAATTGCTTGCAATCATCATATGAAGGAGGATAGAGAGAAAGAAATGGGAGAGCGGAGCTCAAGACTTACCACCATAGTTGCCCAAGAAGATTCTGGCTCTTCTTGGTGTAGCCAGAAAATAGTGTCAGGGTCACTTTGCACAGAAATTTTGCGACGGCGCGTTTTTATCGTGGCCAGAAACGGGTCCTTGACGTTATCGATAAAGATGAGCGGAACAAGCCGGCCCGGGAAAAGAGTTCCCAACGGAGCAGCGACGATTGGGCGGCTGAGCTCCAAAGCGGGGCCGACTCCTGGCTTACCTTGCCTTGGACGAGACGAGCTGAACTGCCCCAGGCGCGCATAGCTGACGCGCGATAAGATAAGGCCAAGGAGCTCTTCGTAAAATCTCGACTCTGCGACGTCAGACAAACGAGCTATCCGCAAATCAATAATCGTTTCTGTCGCATCCCACGAACCTCGCTACCGAACCATCATCACTTCACTCTGTCAGATTTTCTCTAGAAAACCAAACCCCACAAACCGCCAACATGTCTTTCTTCGGAATGGGCCGCCCCAAGCTGTCTTCGGACGAGAAGATCGCCATGGCTGAGCAGGAGATGCGTCTGTTGGCTGATATGCACAACCGGTACGTCACCATCAACAACCTCCATTCTCTGGAACCCCCCTCCCGAGAGAGCATACGCACCTCCGAATCTCGTAATGAAGCTGGCAGATGGGAGGATGACTCTTGAGGAAGAGGGCGTACTATCATTGAGACAGCTGTAACTAACATGCGCGTCCCTAGCCTGACCAAGATCTGCCAAACCAAGTGCCTCCCCGACTACCGCGAGGGCGACCTCAACAAGGGCGAGTCCGTCTGCCTGGACCGCTGCGCCGCCAAGTTCTTTGAGGCGCACATGAAGGCGTCCGAGGTGATGCAGAGCGAGAGCCAGAAGAGAGGCGGCGGCGGCGGTATGGGCGGCGGCATGTTCTAAGTTTGTCGATGGAAGGGGGGACTCCGAAGAAGGGAAGAAGAGCCTGATGAGCCTTGGAACAGGGTCGTGGCTAGAATTACGATAGAACGAGGGAGGGAGACAGAGCATCGACGGAGCGAGGTCGCGCCTCGCGAGGCTGCCTTTGCTCTGTGTAGCATATGCCATGACGCAACAGGATCTCGGGACGAGATGGGGGATGTGGAGGGGCGTCGCGTCGCAACCTTGCACAGAGCTTGGGAAACGCGACGTATCCGAATGTACTTCTGAAGCAGAACCCGTAATCGGGAGCTTCGTGTATAATACAAAGGGGGACTAGAAGCAAGTCCTATCAATGAGAAGAACCACCCTCACAACTTCAGGCTTCACATGGGCAACCCAGAATTGGACGGCCGAATTTTGATTCACAGGGTTTCCCGCGACATAGAAGCCATCCATACTATGAAGATCTGTCTGTTTAGGGCAGCTACGGAGGAGTTGGCCATCAAGCAAACTCAGCGTCCATTGCTCATATCCTGGATCTTTAGTGGTCAGTTTGCGCCACGCACGCATGCCCTCCGTGGTGATGGTCTTGAAAAACATATCCGATGCAGCTGGGAAATTGGAGATCAGTGGAAGAACGTTATAGGGTGTTGTTTCATTACGTCTTTCGACCAAGATCCGATGCCACCGTCACGACTACAGTGAGGGCAGCTGCTCTGCCTATCCGTCCAGGCTTTTGCCTTTTGTTGCTCAGAGTGCATACACAAATGAGATCTCCTTGTCTATTCTATTCTGAGTATTGGCTTTTGGTTATCTTGACAGACGCCAACCTGCCTTCTTAATTCTAGTTGAATTGACAGATAGAATGACTTGTCCAGGACGTCACTGCCATCCGGCGGTACATGATTTCCGGTCCAGGAAAGCCA